CATGTTCCTGAAAAGCTTTCTGTAAAATAATTTTTTGCAGGGTAATTATGATTCCCCACTGGCTTCCAATAAGATTTCTGAGCCAATCCCTCTTCAAGATTGATTTTCAATATACACCAAAGACTTCAGCTTTAAGTTCCTCTGCCCCCTGCCATCCTCTCTGACAGTTACTTAAACCTCATCTGAAAAGTGAAGAAATGATCAACGAAGCATTAAGATCTCTCCTAAGCCTTGGCCAGATAGTTCAGTTAGTTAGAGCATCATCCAGATACGCCAAGTTTACGGGTTCAATACCCGGTCAGGGCACGTACAAGAAGCAACCAATGAATGCATAAATAAGTGGAACACCAAAACATTGATGTCTCTCTCTCTCTCTCTCTCTTAAATCAATAAATTACGAGCTGCCTGGCCGGTGTGGCTCAGTGGTTGAGTGTTGACCTATGAACCAGGAGTTCATGGTTCCCTTGCCAGTCAGGGCATAGGCCTGGGTGGCAAGCTCAATCCCCAGTAGGGGGCGTGCAAGAGGCAGCCAATCAATGATTCTCTCTCATCATTGATATTTCTATCTCTCTCCCTCTCCCTTCCTCTCTGAAATCAACAACAACAAAAATTGCCCTGACTGGTTTGGCTCAGTGTATAGAGCGTCGGCCTGCAGACTGAAGTGTCCCAGGTTCGATTCCAGTCAAGGGCATGTACCTTGGTTGCGGGCACATCCCCAGTGGGAGGTGTGCAGGAGGCAGCTGATCGATGTTTCTCTCTCATTGATGTTTCTAACTCTCTATCTCCCTCCCATCCTCTCTGTAAAAAAAAATAAAATATATATATTTTTTAAAATTACAAAATTCTACAAAGTAATAAATTAAAAGCAAAAATATATCTCTTCTAGTTCAAATAGTCCAGGGTCTGTAATCAAACCTGTAAATACATTGAAGAGGCTGCTATTTGGAGGAGACATCAGGTATCACCATTTCAAATGCAAATACCCTACATCTAACTTTTGGGGAGGCTGTTTCCCAGGGCTCCGGGGATTTTTGCCCCACTCCCTTAGCGGGGAGCAGCCGCCTCAGATGACTGGCATCTTCATTTTAGGAGAGTTGGTACTTTCCCTTCTGCTCTCTGCTCCCTCTACCCCACTCCCAGGTGTCAAATTCCAGAGACCCTCTCTACTGAAATAGAGATGGGCCCTGGGACTCTGAGGAATCCTGTATGCAATACAGCTGGTGGCCTAGGGTAGGAAGCACTTGCTAAGAAAAGATGAAATGAGTTGCTAGGGAGGCACTGTGGCTTTGGTCTCTGGCAAAAGAGTTAAGCAAGGGCACGTGCGTCATGGGTCTGTGGTACTGGTCAGACAACTGCCTTTGCAGTCTTTGAAGCAGAGATATTATTAGTGCTGATAGCAAAGGGAAATGCCTGCTTAGTGGTGAGGAAAATTAATAGTCCAAGCATTCTTCCATCCTGCATTCTCCATGCTGGCATTTTGATTAAAAAAAATATTGCTGCAGCTGTTTGCATATTCTAGAAGTGTGTGTGTATGTGTGTGGTTTGGTGTTTACAGATTTGGGGTTGTGGAGGGGAGTTTCCAGAGCAACGGAAGTAACTGCTTGTCAGTCAGGGTGCATTTTGAAAATGAAACCCTGAAAGCTGGGGCCCGCTTTGGGCCTGGGCCTGGGCCTGGTCTCTGAGGAGTCAGCAAAGGCCAGGAGGTGGCTTTGGCCAGTCGGTTCAGTGAATGAACCACTGATCATTATTACTTTTTTTAATGAATTGACCAAATCTATGAGTTGCTTTCAGTGTCCTGCAGATTCAATCCAAGGCAGGAATGTGGGAGTGGGCATCAAGGTTCTGGCTGCTGATGCACCCTACCAACACACGCACACACAATGCCCCCCACCACATATACACACAATCACATTTTCCCAGGTTGCCAAACCAGAAGAAGGTAACAAATATTTCTCACACACCTACTAGGTGCACAAGGATAGTATGACATAGTCATCAAAGAATTTAGAAGTATTTTTCTTTTAAGATTTCTTTTTTAGTATTTTTAATTTATTTTATAGAGGAGAGAGAGAGAGAGAGAGAGAGAGAGAGAGAGAGAGAGAGATTTGTTGTTTCACTTATTTATGCATTCATTGGTTGATTCTTGTATGTGCCCTGACTGGGGATCGAACCCGCAACCTTGGCACATAGGGATGACGCTCTAACCAACTGAGCTCCTGTCCAAGGACAAAGAGTTTAGAATTTAATTGGCATGTGAGAACAAGGGGAGAGAAATACAACATAAGGCAGTCTGTGCCAGATGCCACGGCAGTAATACAAACAGGATTGAGGGAGGGAGAGTGATCACTCTGGGCTGGGGTAATCAGAGGTGGTTTACTGGAGAAGGTGGAAACTGAGGCCATCCTTGAAGGACAGGGAGAAGAACTTTACTATTCAGAAGCTGTGAGGGAGGACATTCTAGATAGAGGAGGGCAAGTTCAAGATGTACTCAGGCTAGGACAAATCCATCCGTTTGGCTGAAACTTGGGGCTTGTGGGAGTGATTTGTAGCCAATAAGCCTGGCTTGGATACCGGTAGATCTGCACTAGAACAAAGGCTATGGTGTCACACAGACCTGCTCTGCCACTTCCTGCTGGGTGACCTTGGGCAAGTGGCCTAACCTCCCTGCAAACTGAGGATAATAATGATGCTTAGCTCTTGAGGCCATTGGGAAGACTAAAAGTTTTACATCTAGCACAGTGCCTGACACATAGTAAATGTTCAAAAATGGGTTACAGCCCTAGCTGGTTTGGCTTAGTCGATAGAGCATCAGCCTGCGGACTGAAAGGTCCAGGGTTAAATTCTGGTCAAGGGCATGTACCTCGGTTGCAGGCTCCTCCCCAATGTGTTTCTCTCACATCGATATTTCTCTCTGTCTTTCCCTCTCTCTTCCACTCTCTCTAAAAATCCATGGAAAAATATCCTTGGGTGAGGATTTAAAAAAAAAAAGGGTTACAAATGCATAAGCTGTCATGAAGGAAAGCTCAAAATATTTAGGACTGATTCCCAATGTTTGAGGGTGAAGGAGGAAAAGCCTCTGATACTTTCCATCACTGTCATGCCCAGTGGTGTGAGCTCCCATCCCCTCTGGCCTACACTATTGGACCAGCCTCCTGACTTCCTGCCTCTGCTTCTCCCATAATCATTTTCCTAAATACCACCTTAATCATAGCTGTGTTCCTCTCTGGCTCAAGAACCTTCTATGGCTCCCAATTGCTCACTGACTGAACTCCCTAATAACATGGGGTGGGGGGACAGGAGGCAAGAGCTACCATTTATTGAGGGAAGGAAAGAGCAAAGAGGAGGCCAATGTTAGGTGTTCAAAGGTAAAATATCGTCATCTTTTAAAAGCCCCTAAGCTCCGAATTCACAGATCAGCAGGTCCCTGAGGGAGAGAGCAGGACACATCTCTGAAGAGGGCAGGGCGTTCCCCTAGCCTCTGAGGGTGGAGCAGGGACCGGGGGTGGGTGGGACAGTGGAATACCCCTTCTCCATTCCGGGACAGTGTCTACCTGGGCCCCGGTCTCGGGTTTCTGCAGGAATCCCGCGTAGTTCTGGGCGCTGCGGGAAGGGTCTAGGCCGCACAAAGGGCAGAGCAGGCGAATCCGGGTCACATGGGGTAGCCAGGCAGCCTCCGTGAATGCTAGGCTCGGGACAAAGGCGGCTAGGGGACAAAGTACAGGGAGACTCTTGAGGAGATAAGAAGGACGGTCCAAGGAAGGGGGCGGGGAGGGAGCACCCAGGAGCCTTGGCTGGCAGCCGAGCTCAGCCCTCCGGGGAGAGGGCGCCCTCGAACCTCTTCCTCTCAGCAGCTGCTGGGATGCGGAGAACGACTGCTGGGGCAGTTGGGCTGCTCGGGGCGACTTTGGGGGCCGC